CCAAAGTCCCGCACACACACACACACACACACACACACACACACACACACACACACACACACACACACACACACACACACACACATTTTCAAGAAACCTACACAGATTTTTCCATACCTTTCAAGCTCCAAAAAGGACAAGGGCACAAATCACATAGACCACTTTTATGGTGCTTTTATAGTGCTCCTTTGTCTTTTTTTTTAGCTTGAAAGACAAGGAAAAAATCTATGGAAGTGTGTTTGTTTGTTTAAAACCACATGAGCACAAATACATAATTGAGTTTTTGGGTGAACTCTTCCTTTAAATGAACCTTAATTCATTTATTTCAACATGTAACTGATCTCACAGGGTGAGTCTCGATCCAAACTCTCAGAAAAAGGTTGGCTACTTGCGAACTCAGCTCTCACAGTTTAACCGGCTGTATAAATCCGCCAGTCTGACTGACAGCAATGTCCCTGGCATCCTGAAAATAGCTTTAGACTTGTGAGTCATTTTTACCTTAATTATTTTCAAATACAATTCCCAGCTATTCATTTGTTTAGAAAGCAAAACATCAATGAAAGTTATTCATTTGTCTAGAAAGCAAAATATGTGCTGTTTGACAGTTAATTTTAATGCATAATTATGTGAGTCAGTTCAATTCAGTTCTCTCACTAAGGCCTGTTGTTTTATGTGGCAGTTTAATGTCCAAACTGACTCTGGCTGAGTTGAACGTGTTGTTATTCCGCTGTGACGCGGAGGAACAGGAAGATGGTGGTGGCTGCTACAATATACCATCATGGATGCCGTTGAAGTATGGAGGCCTACAAGGTGCCAATATACACATATAGCAGGATTGGTTTCGGGTCACTGTAGTTATGTGACTGTATAAATCTCATGCTTTTATTATTCACAGGTTTTGTGTCTGTGTTGTCCGAGTTTCGGCCCAAAAATGACCTTGGACATTCGTTCTGTGACAATCTAAGACAAGGTGATTGGATGATCGATTACGTGAGTTCTCGTCTGATGAATAAAGGTGGAGCTCTGCGGGAGGTAAGAAAGGAAATATGTTTTTTTTTGTAATGTTTGGGGGGGTATGAAGTTTGGCATGCAACTCACCCTGCATCCTTTTCAAATCATTCATATTAAATTGTAAATTGAAAAATGACGTTTTTATGCACATTGTTGTAGCATACTTCCTGTCGAAATAAATGTTTCTTATTTTTCATAGGTTGGAAAGTGGTTCAGCGCTGTATTTACATACCTCAAACATATCCCACGCTACTTAGTGCCATGTTATTTTGATGCCATTATTGTAGGGGCGTACGCCACGGCTGTAGATGCTGTTTTCAACCAAATGTCCAGGTTAGTTCTCTGTTTAAGTTTAATATTTAGGAGTATGAGAGTGTAATATTTGAACTGTGTGGGGGGTAGTTTGTAAATGTGTGTAATGGATTACAGCTTTGTTCAGAATGGGTCGACCCTGGTTAAGCAGCTGGCCCTGGGCTCAGTTCAGATGTGTGGGGTGGGTCGTGTCCCCACCCTGCCGCCACTCTCTCCCGAACTGGAGGATGTCCCTGTCCGACTCAACAGTGTGACCAAACAAGAGGAGCAGTGTTGCGTTTCTCTTGCTGCAGGTTTGGATTCATACACAGTTCCATCTAATGTAAATCATTTGATCGACGGGACTGTTTACATTTATTTAATGCTTTAAATTACAGAAAAAGGACCACTTGGTTGATACCAGGCAGGGCCCCAGCTGCATATTGTCTAAAAGTGTTGCTATGCCTATAAAATGATGCATATACTACCATATTTACATGCTGAATGATGCTTAAAGGCATAGTTCACCCAAAAATGAAAATTCTGTCATTAATTGCTCACCCTCATGTTGATCCATACCCATCTTCAGAACACAAATTAAGATATTTTTGATGAAACCCGAGAGATTTCTGACCCTCCATAAACAGCAACACAACTACCAAGTTCAAGGCCCAGAAAGGTAGTAAGGACATTGTTAAAATAGTTCATGTGACATCAGTGGTTCAACCTTAATTTTATGAAGCAACGAGAATACTTTTTGTGGTCAAAGAAAACAAAAATAATGACTTTATTCAGCAATTCAAACAATGTATTTACTACCTTAATGTGGTAGTTGTGTTGCTGTTTATGGAGGGTCAGAAAGCTCTCGGGTTTCATCAAAAATATCTTAATTTGTGTTCTCAAGATGGGTTTGGATTGACATTAATGACAGAATTTTCATTTTTGGGTGAACTATACCTTTAAGTTGCATTGTGATTAAAATAATTATTATTGATGTACCAACTTATACACTTCTACATATTACATACTTTTTAATGTGGGACTTGTTTCATGAAAAATGTTGTCATCTATGCAGGTCTGCCGCATTTCTCCACTGGAATCTTCCGCTGTTGGGGTAGAGACACTTTCATAGCGCTGCGCGGTCTCATGCTTTTGACAGGGAGGTACTTGGAGGCCAGGTGAGCATCTAATTTTAGAATGCATACCAATGACTCTGGGATCATCCTCTAATCTGATGTTGTTTCTGACAGAAATATCATCTTAGCCTTTGCTGGCACGATGCGCCACGGTCTGATCCCTAATTTGCTAGGTCAGGGTGTTGCAGCCCGTTACAACTGCCGTGATGCAGTATGGTGGTGGCTTCAGTGTATCCAGGACTACTGTAATATTGTGCCCAACGGCACAGATATTCTTATGTGCCCTGTGTCACGTATGTATCCCACTGATGATTCTGAGGCACAGCCCCTGGAGACAGTGGTAAGAAGAATGGAAACAATCTCTGACTGCTTATGATTCTTGATACAGTACAATGCCATGCACTACTTGTATGATTCAGTAAGGGGAGGTACAGCTTAATTTACCAAACTTCCATACAGTGGGGAGAATATTTATTTGATCCCCTGCTGATTTTGTAAGTTTGCCCACTTACAAAGAAATTAAGGGTCTATAATTTTTATGGTAGGCTTATTTTAACGTATAGAGACAGAATACCAACCAACAAATCCAGAAAAAAAACACATTATATAAAGGTTAGAAATTGATTATCATGACATTTTGCTCATATACTAAATGTAATATCTCACGGTTCATAATAGGTGCAGACTTGCGTCTTTAGATATTGTTTTCTGATTGTTTTTATTCTATTTAACACAAAAGGAGATTTTTTTGTTCATACAATTACAATGAATGGCCACTGGAGCTTTCAGACTTCAAAAAGGACACAAAAGCACCATAGAAATACTATGAAAGTTGCTAATTAATTGCCCAAGCATATCTAGGGCCAGATTTTATGTGAATAACATTAAATTCACCACACTATGCTATTATATGATTTATGTGGACCACCTTTATGCTGCTTTTGTGGAGCTTTTTGTCATTTTGGAGCTTAAAAGCCTTAGTCCTCATATTAAAAAGTGCTTTATTGAAAAGTATGGCCAGAATATTCCAGAATGTCAATGTTTTTATTTTATTTTATTATGTCTGTAAATGTTTTGCATAATTAAACAACCTTTTTACAATTGTTAAAAAAATTAAGGTTGTGGCATTTTATGTTAAATATACTGTATATCACTTTTAATATACAAATCTGTACATATTTAATAAGATTATAAATGCACAATGCACAAACTATTGTTTTATGTTTATTTTTGATGTGGCATGGTTTCATTCTGACTGAAGGCTGTTAATATTTTTGTTCATGAATTGTATCAGGTTCACGACCAGCCGTTATACGTGGTCATTCAAGAGGCTATGCAGTGTCATATGCAGGGAATAGAGTTCAGAGAGAGAAACGCAGGTCCACAGATCGACCACAACATGCGAGATGAAGGTGAGTCATTTTCTAAGGCTGTTTTTCCATGTCTGTCTCAAAACATACCTTGCTTTTCCTATTGTCCTGTCCCATAGGCTTTAATGTGGAGGCCAAAGTAAATCCCGAGACAGGATTTGTTTATGGTGGAAATCGCTTCAACTGTGGGACGTGGATGGATAAAATGGGAGAGAGCGACACAGCCCATAATAGAGGTGTTCCAGCCACACCCAGGTACTATAACTACCCGCTAACATACCAGTCGTGCTAAACCCATACAATAATGCTCCACTGTATTTAGCACAAAAGAACGCTTTCAATGTGAAACACTGCCTGGATAAACCAGTCCTCAATACATCAAGTGGATGATGGTGTTGTGTTTATGTGCAGGGACGGCTCTGCGGTGGAGGTTGTGGGTCTCAGTAAGTCAGCGGTGCGCTGGCTAATGACGATGAATGAGAATGGAAATTTCCCATACTCCTCTGTCACAATACACAGAGATGGTACATCCTCTTTAACACATTCTCATTCTCAATGAAACTGACAATGATTACTTATATTTGTTTGTTACAAAATAAGGTGCCAGTAATTAAATATTGTATTTTATTACAAAGTGATTTTTACAAATTTATATTAATATTTTCTATTAATCTTTGTTTTTGTTTTATTTGATTTTAGTTTAGTTTAGTTTTACAAAATAAGGTGCCAGTATGTTTTTGTTTATTTTAATTTATTACAAGATAAAGTGGCAATAATAAAACATTTAGTTTGAATTCATTTTATTACAAAATAAGGTGCCAGTAATTAAATATTTTTTTGTTTTATTTTTTGTTTTTATCATATTTTATTTTGTTTTGTTTTGTTTTATTTTATCTTATTTTGTTTTGTTTTGTTCTATTCTATTCTATTCTATTCTATTCTATCTTATCTTATCTTATCTTATCTTATTTTATCTTAATTTGTTTAGTTTTTAGTTTTATTTTATTTTATCTTATTTTATTTTGTTTTATTTAGTACTTTATTTTAAATAAGGTACCACTTCTATTTTACTTTATTTACATTCCGTCAAAAAAGGTTAAAACCACTAAAGCAACTTTTTAGTGGTGTGCCGTGTGCGTATGATTGTTGCTACAGTGACTCACTTTTGAGTCTAAATATTTGTGTCCTGTTGAAAAGACACACCTTCAGTAGTATCGTAATTCACTGTTATAATACAGTATATTCAGCTGACAGCATGCTAATCAATTATCATATATTTTAAAGATTCGTCAGGACCATTACGGTTTCATTTTTCCAGGAACAGAGCAGTCAGTGTCCTATAAAGAGTGGAATCAAAGGATCCAGGAGAATTTTGAAAGGTTTTTCTATGTGTCAGAAGACGCTTCAGACCCAAATGAACAACATCCTGACCTGGTCCACAAGAAATGCATTTACAAAGACAGTTACGGGGCCTCTAGCCCCTGGTGTGACTACCAACTCAGACCTAACTTCACCATCGCCATGGTGGTGGTGAGTCCAAGTGCTTATAAGAGATTCTTTCCAAGAGTTTTTGCGGATGTTCTGTTATACAGTCCTTTGTTTCACTAGGCACCAGAGTTGTTTACAGTGCAAAGAGCATGGAAGGCTTTAGAGATAGTAGAGAAGAAGCTGCTCGGTCCTCTGGGAATGAAAACGCTGGATCCAGAGTGAGTAGAAAACAATACCTGCTGTCTGCCTGTTGGTTAAGCAGCTGCTTGTGTTAAAAGTGCACTCTTCTGGCTGGCTGACTGGACATGGTTTGATAAGTGGTTTAGTCTAGAACAAGAACATTTGTGCATGGGTGAAGTCATTAGTATGTAGAAATCTCTGATGTTGGCGTGTCTGTATTTGTTTAACAGTGATCTGGTGTACTGCGGTGTTTATGACAACGCCCTGGATAATGACAACTACAACTGTGCGAAAGGATTCAACTATCACCAAGGACCTGTATGTTTTCATACATTAAAGGAATATTTTTTCCACATTTAAAATGTTGTCATTGTTTCCTCACCCTCAAGTTGTTCCAAACCTGTTTGAATTTCTTTCTTCTGCTGAACCCTAAAGAAGATATTTTGAAGAATGTGAGTAACCAAATGGTTTCTGGTCCCCATTGACTTCCATAGTGTTTTCTCGATACTATGGAAGTCATTGGGGACCAGCAATCTTCTTTTATGTTCAGCAGAAGAAAGAAACAAGTACTTGAGGGTGAGGGAATGATAACAGAATTGTCATTTTTGGGTGAACTATCCCTTTAACAATGATAAATTGTTTTGGATGTGAGAGATTTCATTGGTTTTCTAAACTATGCACATTTCATCATTCATTTACAGGAATGGCTGTGGCCAGTTGGATACTTCTTACGAGCCAAGCTTTATTTTGCTAAGAAAATGGGCCAGGAGAAGTACAATGAAAGTGTGTACCTGGTCAAGAATGTCCTATCTAGACTTTATACACGTTTAGAAAGGTATTACAAAGCTCACACTAATAAAATAATACAGTTTTATTTTATTTTTTCAAAATGGTGGAATGATTTGAATCTACAGGTGATTGAGTTTAAAAAGTCATTTGCACAGTATATAACATTTCTTATCTATATGTTCTCTTTGATCTAGATCACCTTGGAAATGTTTACCTGAGCTGACCAATGAAAACGGACAGTACTGCCCGTTCAGTTGTGAAACACAGGCTTGGTCTATCGCCACTGTTCTGGAGACCCTATATGATTTATGATTATATCAAGGACAAGCTCTCATATACTTCTTTACCACCTTCCTGAGAAGTTCAGAGGACATTGTTTTACATTCGCAACCCTGTGCAGACACAAATATGCCCTGCTACTCTCTGAGATGTTTTAGTGTTGGGAAGAAATGGAAACACTTTATCTTTTGATTGTGCCAACTCACTTTTAGAGAGATTTTTCTGTCATGTTTACAGTCTTGTTAGTTACTACCAGCATATTCAGATTCGGTTTGTTGGTTAAAAAACATATTTATGCCCATTTGTGATTATT